AGAGGAAGCATTTTTTTCTTTGTATAAAAAGGAGGCATTTCCCCCATCTCCAGCATCATCCACAAAGGGTTAGTCTCAACAAGCTTCAGTTCAGCATGTCTCTCACCTCTTACATACGTTATCCAACTTATGAGATTAGCAAATACACCACAACTAGCCAGCTAGCCCATAACTCTGGTCACTACTTCATCTACGTCACTCCTCCAACATGGAATTTCGTCCGCAGAGGAATGCCCTTTCCTGAGTCGATCGCCAATTTCGAGCTCTGTAAATCTTCATCAGCACATGCGAACGTATTTTGGTATTGGTAATCGCTTGGACACCGTTTGTGGATCCGCTCCCAAATGGTTTTACTCTCCTTCGTCAAGTTTCGAAAATACGGTTGAGTAGCATAGCTGGAGATTGACGTCTTGGTATTTTGTTGTCCGTGCGTGTCTACCCCTGTCAAATGACATATGTACATTCACTCTCATCACTACGGTTGACAACAACACGCTCGAAGTGCTCTTTGTATACAAAGGTAGCTTAAAGTATACTGCAACTCTCAACAAGGGTGCACCCAGCTTCGTAGTTGGGCGGAATACTTGAAACTGGAGATGGCGCTAGTCTCATCAGTGACGTAGACGCGTCATGGGGTAGAATCCTTATTCTTGTTAATAATCTTCCCTACATCAACATCGAAGCTCTTCATTCTCAATAATTTGTATTTCAACCTTGTGTGAAGCTGCTCACTCTATCCCTCACAACAAATTCGTCGCTCGAATCAAGCAAACTCAATATGTCTGCAGTGGATAGCCTTAAAAGCCAGACGGCTGCGCTTCAGTGTAAGTTGGCGATTGTTTATGTTTCGTAGTTGAAGATATATTTCATACTTAGTTATCTAAGATGTACATATCTAACCCGCAGAAGTGGTGATACAACTAACACCTGCGTATATAGCAAGCGTAAGCGGCATCGAGAAAGTCGCGAAGAAAACCTCCACTGCAACTCCAGCAAAGACAACGACTACGCCTCAGGCCACGCCAGCGAAGAAAGCTACACCCACATCGACTCCCTCTACTGCCACAAAAACAGGAGCAACACCGGTCAAAAAGGCCCCAACTAATTTGGGCCGGACGCCTCTCGGAACGCAGAAGAATCTTCCGGTATCCAAAGCTTCTCCATCAACACCCACGTCTGCCGTGAAGAAGACGCCAGCAACCGCGGCGAGTAAGACGACTCCAGCATCTGCGACCAAAACGCCCGCAAGCTCTGCATCAAAGCCACGCACAGCCCTCGGCACACAGAAGACCCTCCCCGTTGCACGAACAAAAGGAGCTAATATCAAGGACGATGCAGTGCCTGCCTCAAAAGCAACAGCAACAGCCTCATCTTCTTCCACGCCTGTCAAAGCCAGCACAGCTACTACCTCAAAGGCGACGCCCATAAAAGCCAGCACAACTACTACCTCAAAAGCAACACCCGTCAAATCCAACACAACCTCCGCCTCGAAGGCAACCCCTATTAAGAAAGCAACGCCCGCTAGAGCCACCAATGCAGATGGCACCCGCCCTACATCGTCTGGTACACAGAAGATTGCCCCAGCACCCGTGCCACCCAAGAAGCCTGGTATGATCGGCCAAGGTGCCAACGCGGTCACAGGAGCGACAAATAAGACAGTTGGAGTGACGGCCGGAACCCTCAACACCGTCACAGACTCAGCGACCTCGGGATTGAATGCCGGAGTCAATGGTGTCACAGGGGCTGTCGGATACGGACTGGATAAGGTACCGGGAGGCGTTGGAAAACCTGTCAAGCACGTGACCGACAATGTCGGCAAGACTGCGACGGAAGCGACTGATAATCTGTACTATACGACGGGGGCTGCGACCAAGGGATTACAAGGCACGGTCAGCAAGACAACGGGCGCCATCGGGAAAGGTGATGTCAAGGGCACTGTTGGTGGACTAACCTCTGGTGTTGGAAACACCGTAGGCGGGGTCGGAAAGGTGAGTTCAACCCCCTCTAAATCCTGCATGTGCATACTGACGACTTCGGCAGGGACTTGGAACTACCGTTGGCGATGCCGTCGGTGGAGTAGGAAATACAGTTGGTGGGCCACTGGGTGATATTGTCGGCGGCGTCGGCAAGGGTGCTAGTAATGCAGTTGGTGGCATCACCAGTGGCCTAGGAGAAGGTGTTGGGAAACTGGGACGAGGAGACGTGATCGGTGGTGTAGGAAGCACGCTTGGTGGTGTTACCAAGGGTGTGGGTGGGCTGTTTGGAGGGTTCACGAGTGGTAAAGAAGATCCCAAGTGAGGCTACAGAAGTTGGCAGGAACCTGACGAGCAGCATGGCGAGCAGCACATGTTGTGTTTTGAGCGTCCTTTGTATATATATCTAAAGTATTAATCTTATAGTATAAAACTTCATGTATTGCAGCGAAGAGCGCATAAGATTGTTGGAAATTCACAACGTAAACGATGGTGCTCAATATCCTTCTGCGTGAAATATGATAGATATCTTCCCTTTTTTTCAAGTCCAGCTCATTTATGTGGTATCACAGTCTACCCTTTCCCAGGCCCCGTTCCAAAAACGCCATGCGGAATCAAATGTGTGTGTCTATATATATATATCCCTTCCTAGGTCTCGGGGCCTAGAACCGGCTCAGAAGCAGCCATGTTGCACTGCCTGAAGATGCGGACCTCCTCGGGCAAGAAAGATCCAGTGACTGTGTGAAGCACACCGTGGTTATTGAACATGGCCATGTCGCCCTCCTCCCAGTCGATGCCCAGTACCAATTCGGGTGCAATGCCAGGTCTCTGCATGCGGTGCACAATCTCCCTGACTTGCTCGAGATCGTCCATGATAGTGCCGTCGGCGAGGTGAAGCTTCTGCACTGCACTGGGGTGGACTTGGAGCGCGAGTTGGCCGGTGACGGGGTTCTTCCAGCACATGGGCAGGATCTTGATCTTCTCTTCTTCGATGGGGGGAAGGGAAGGATAGTCGAGTTCGAGGCCGTCGGAGATCATTCCGAGGCCGTCGGGGCGCGAGCGTGCGGGGGACATCCAGATGTATGGGTGAGGGGCGTATTGGACTTTGGTCGTTCGTGCAAACTCCTTGTCTTCATCGCTGAGCAGGTCGAACATCTTGAACGAGGAGACAAAAGCAGTGCTTCCGCGAGAGACGGAGAGCCTATCGTTGGATCCATCGTCGTACCTCAGGGTTTGGAACTCCGTCTTCGGTACCTTGACAGCCATCAAGCTAGTCACCTTTGGTGGCTCGAGATGGTAAAGAGCAGCGTCCATGTGCCACCTGTAAAACCGAGTATTCTCGCGGTCATCTTCGACGCTGATGGGCTCCTTGTGGAATGTTTTGTGGTGGGGGTGCTTGAGTGTGATATTCTCGAGTCCCTCGAAAGAAGCAACAGGTCCATTTCCGATCACCTGGACCTGCGGTTGGTGAGGGATAGTCTTGAGATCCGGGTGTAGGATAGAGCGCTTGGCGTCAAGGGTCTTTCCGTGGCCGTAGCTGGATGCTGCGGGATCAAAAAGGCGCGTCAGTTCGTATTGAGCTTTTGGTGGGAGGTTCTGTTGGTTCTTGAAGAGAATGACGTTGTTCTCATAAAGCGCTGTGCGGATCACGTCGAAGTCGGCTTCTGCATGGGTGTTAGCATTCGTTGTGATATCTAGGGTATAGTAAAAAAGGTATGGATGTTTGTTTACCAGTCACATTTTCAAGATCAGCGCCGCGAATTTCGGCACCGAAATCAATCGTTGAGCCCTCGGGCTTTGCAAGCTTGTGGACGGTGATTGGGCTGGTGGTCGAGTGAGGCATTGTGATTGAATTTGAGTTTTATAGTATTCCTTCCCGCCGAGTGTTGAAACGTATATCAGTGTTTATGAACGAGGAGGGAAGCAAGGCTAATCCATGCTACTTTATACACAAAGACATGGCCCTAGTCGTTTTTTTTTTGGTGATGGCCAGCGCCGCCACTGATAAGGCCGGAGACCCCCGACAATGCTCAATTCGAGAGCCTATAGGAAACGGTCTTACCGGAGATGTTGATCGAGTTTCAATTAGCCACGTGGCACAGTGCAATACCCGACGTTTGGTCGCTGCCTGCCTACAAGTAGGTGTAAGACGTTTATTGCCGCTATCCAGAGTCGGGAGGTATCTGATGTATGGATCGGAGGAGCCCGATGAAAACCTTGGAAGTCGGAAAAGCGATCAGGAACTAGTAAGATTGTGCTGTTCTCGCCTCTTAATATCATTAATAAGATGGCTCATTTGATAGAAATAGATGTGTTTGGATGGAATTGGTTTATCTCAAACTGATGACATATATCTGTCTGTACAGTATACAGTATCAAGACCCTGCGTGCCTGTACAGAGTATACGAGAATGCCGAGGCACTTTCCTTATTAGTATTAGTGTATCTACTAGCGGCTGGTCAGCAGGTAGCGCCTTGGCAGTCACCTTCATGCCACCCATACATATAGACACGTAGACCCTTAATACAATCAACTCGTCTATACGACACACACTTACCAGCAAACCGTTCGTCTGAAAACTGCCACTCAAAACGCATCTTCCCGCAAGCTCATAAAACTATCTCTACTAGTTCTTGATACTCTCACCCTCTTATCTAACATCTCCCAAACCACGACCCTGCGCCTGTCAAAAGCAGTACCGTTAGAAACGTAAAACCTGCCTTCAACTTCATTTGCAGCCTTTTCACTTATCATCTACTTCTTTCTATCCTCTAGCAGGCTGCCGTAGAGATACCAAGTCAGCACCTTTTGTCCGTGCACGTCTTTAGCCCCATTTTGGCTCCGTTTTGGCTCCGTTTTTGTGGTCGGCTAATTGTTAATTAAGAGAGAAAATCCTGCTGGCCTCTCCACTACCCAAGAGGATGGATGTTACGACTAATTAATAAGAAAATCCTGCTGGCTTATCCACTGACATGCCTGATATATATGAAAACGTTGTACAAATGTTCATAGTTGAAGACAAGCTCAGGATGGCTGGCACAATTGGCTAGCGCGTGAGACTCTTAATCTCAAGGTTGCGGGTAAGAATAACCATATAAAGATCAAAGTAGCACCATTAACAATATTCAAGGTTCGAGTCCCGCGTCGTCCTACTATCTGATTTCTTTTTTGCTGTTTTTTTTTGATGCTGTAGGTGTGGTCAGAACAGTGAAGGTTGAACGATAGCGAGGAACGAATGTTGGGATAATATAGCTCTTGACATGGATGACATGAACAACACTACAATAATCACTATCCAGACCATACCAACACCTTTGTTATGATCCTCAATCACATGGCTACGCTGAATAACCAGTAGCGGTAGATAGTATCTCCAACTTGGACCCCCAATCCCCTCTTAAGCTCCAACGGCCTCCTCTCTCTTCACGCGAAAAAACGCCAACTTCGCGAATCTCCCCAGTGTGGCCCAGAAGTGCCGACCCGCAGGATGCTCCATGATCCTCTCGAGCAGCCTAACCACACTCAATCTGACATCCAATCTAGGGTGAAACAGTCCTAAGCTTAGATAGAAGAGTCCAGAATTCGACTCGGGAATTACGCAAAGGAGTTGCAGGATGGTATCGTATTGTAGTTGTTCGCCCCGGCGGCGGTCAGGATCGCTGGTGAGTGTGAGTGACTGAGACATGGCAGATGCGAGGTTTGAAGTGGAGGACCCAGGGGTTCCGGCTTCTTCGACAGCCCGCGCCAAGGCGAGATAGATGGCTGCGCTTTGGTCGTGCGAGAGACGTAGACAGCGGAGACGATCGTGCTGGTGGTGTAGGTCGATACCGCGCACGGGCCTCTTGTCCCATTTGTGCACCAAGTCTTGCACGAAAGAGTAGTAGGAGCGCGTGCTGCGCCAGCCTTCAACACGGTGCACATTTGCAGCGAGTTCCTTCATTCGCGAATTTTCGTCAGGCCAGACGAAGCCATGGCCTGTGACGCCATATGCACCTATGTCGGTCTCGTGGGAGCCAACGTGGAGAGCCGAGGCGCCGTAGACGGTCTCTTCGAAAGCAGTGGCGATGCGGGTAAATTTGAGGACCCATGAACGCCATTTTGCGCGGATAGCGTTCTCTCCGTGACGGTTTGCAATGCTTTGGAGAAGACTTTCCATAAATTGGGAATCGCCGGTGGGGTCAACAAAGTTCTTGCCCTCGTGCCCCTGTTGCACACCGCCGACCCCGCTCACGGGGATTCCCTGTTGTTGGAAGTAGAGGAGACCTTCAGTCACCGGGGCACTCTCAATGCGATTGCTGATTTTCATGCGGCCAGTCGGAAGATCGCATAGAAGGTCCCACCATTCTGGTTTGTATGAGAAAGCGGGATTGGTCACTCCAGCGATGAAGCCGGGGACTTTGAGGAGGTCATCAACCTTGGTGAGATCCGTGTATGGGAAAGCATGACGAACGAACCCGCGAAGAAGACCGCCAGATGCTAAAGCGCATGCGCCGAGGACTGCTTCGGCGACTTCGCTGGATGGCCGATTGTGGCCGAGGAATATAACGCGCTTCTGAGTGAGAAGTGCGTTGACAAGAACAATGATGGGATGGGTATATGCGCCGCTAGTTGTGAGATGGGGATGAAGAGCAAAAGGTTGAGGTTGTGTAGTATGCGGTGTGGAGAATGTCTGTATGAGCTTGATGAGGGAGAAGTCTCCAACGGTCTCAGGGCTCAATGCTGTTGGGACTTTGATCGGAACCGGAATGCCATTGTAATTGACCTTGGATTCAAATTCGTGAGTATCTCGCGGCGGGGCATAGACCTTACGCAGGGGTTCCGCCGAGTTTGTAGACAATCCTGAGGGAAAAGAGTCCCGTTCCGAATCTGCAACTTTACGCTGCTTGATTATCTGGAGGAACTTTTCGACGAAAATATCCTTGGCGTCACTAGCTTGCAGCACGAATGTCTCCAGAGGTGAAAGTTTTGGAAGCAAAGACAAGTCCATGGCGTTTAGGGCGTTGTAGAGAGAGGCAAGGGTATCGAGAACAGGTGCTCTGAAGTATTCTTCTAGAGCTAGTAGTAAAAGGGGTTTGTAGATGTGTAGAAAGGAGTGCCTCGTGCAAATAGCCATGGCTTTCACAATGGCTCCTCTGTATTATGTCAGCGACAAGGAGAGGCAAGATGCTCGACCAGCGTACCTCTTTGCTGTGTTCTCGTGCTTTGTGTTCACCAAATTCAACACATAGATCAATGGCGGTCCGTCAGGGTCATTGTCATCTTCGCTTTCCTCGCTTGAATCATCGTCGTCGTCCAAATCATCGTCCAAATCATCATCCAGATCGTCATCTTCCAGTTCGCTTTCCTCGGCTCCAGCTGTGGTATCATCTTCATCTTTCAATGCTTCCTTCCGCCGTCTACGTCTCCGTCTTCTTTGCCTCCGTGTCTCTTTCTCCTCCTCTTCGGTGCTTGTGTCCTTGTGTAGAAAGAAGATGGTCCAATCCTGGCTGCGCACGTGTGCTTGATCCGGCAGCATCAGCTCTGCCAGCATGGTCTCGTCCCCGCTGATGGGGCCGGGATATTGGTGTTCCATGACCGACCCGCGGTCAATGTCGAATGATGCCACCAGTATGTATTCGACATGGTTTTGGATGGAATTGGCGGGATACTGTGAGCGGATTTTTCCACTAAGCGCTGGGCGAACAGCCACTGGCGGATGCGAGGAGTCGTGGGAGGAACTGAGGGAGCCATCGTCCTCCCTCAGCATGGGCGGTTGCGGGGAGCGGGGCTTTTTGTTATCATTGCGCATGGATACGGACGAGGGTGACCGCGAGGATGGGAACGAGGAGAAGGAGGGCTGCCGCTGCAAGCCCGGCGTGGAGCTGCCGCCGTTGGTTCGCTGTGCCATTACTTCAGCCATGAGTGTTTCCGCGTCCATTCTCCAGACGTGCGCATCCTGCTGGAGATAGATGTCTCTGAGCGCGCGCTAGGCAAGCCCCTCCCCGGCCTGGGATCCGAAACGGAAAGTTTCAAGAGCGGTGAGCGGTGTGGAAGATGTGCGTCTTGGCCCCGGGCAACTAGGCCGCGCGTGGTGAGACAAGACGGGAGTCGTATGTATGTACCTTTGTAATAATTGATTGTACAGGTACAGGTACAGGTACAGGTACAGATACAGGCAGCGGTTCGGGACGTGCTGTCATAGATGACGCATGGAGCAATTGAGGGACCACGATGGCAGTGATGGATGCCCAGCAGTAGAGTACCTTGACACCTTGAGTGGGTGACAGTCTGGTCAGTGCAGCTTATCGTTATCAGACTAGCGCTCCCGAACCTTAATTCAGCTGCTCACCGTTGTTGCTGTTGCCAGGGTGAATGTCAACACACCAAACACGCCTGGCGACTCCAGCTAACATTGAACATCGACCATCGACCATCGACCATCGACCATCGACCATCTGCTGCCATAACGCGACATTACATATTCACACACACATATCATGGTACCTTTATTCGCTTCTGTCTTCTAATCTTCACAATTGACAATCGTGTACACAGTCGACCACTCCAACCCACTACAAACCGTCCCCGCTCTCCTTCAACAGCCCACGCACCTCACCTTTCCGTCGACCCGCATCGCCCCTTGCGCCCTCTCCGTCCACATTAAAACTCGTTACTCCTACAAGCTCGCCTCTGAAGCCGGTAGGGACTCCCGCCTCGCAGACTCCACTTCGACATGCGACAACCAGTAATGCTTCAGTCAACCCGCCCGCATGGCTGAACACACGCGGGACAGCCACAGCTCCTGAAGCCCCCAGCTCGCCGACGCGGCCCGTCTTTGCTTCCACACAAAATACCGTGCGCCCAACCAACACCGCTTCCATCGCAGCGCGATTCGACGGCACAAGCTCAAGCAACACCCCTCCTGCAGAGCGACTCTCGGCCCGACCAGCCCCTCTCTCCCGTACCAGCTCTACTGATGCACTCTCAAAAATCCCACCTCCACTCTTACACAGCATGCGCGAATCCTTCAGCGTTCTGGACCGGGACAACAACGGTAGTGTCAATTCAGAGGACGTCGCCGATATGCTATCTCAGCTTGGTCTCAGCACTACACCCTCTATGCTTGCATCGTACTTTCCGAACGGAGCCCAGTCGATGAATCTGGCGACATATTTGAACACTCTATCCGATCTTATGTCCGGACTTTCACATACAAGTGAGCTAAATGCGGCGTTTGAGGCATTCGATGATGGCGACGATGGCCAGATTGACCTGGGTGAATTGAAAGATGCTCTGATGCACACGCCGCCTGAAGCTGGAGAAAATAAGTTGACCGAGAGAGAGATCGATGTCATTGTAGATGGCTTTAGTGGAAGGAGGGCGTTTGGAAAAGGTGGGAAAGGCCTTGGAAGAGGAGAGGTTTTCCGGTATCAGGAATTCGTGTCGAGTCTGACGGGTGGTGGAAACGGGGGAGAGAATGGTGTAAATAATAGTGCACAGGCATAGAAATTACTTATCTAGGGTCAAGTTATGGATGCATTGGTTCAAGGGCGTTCAGGGTATCAGGCCAGTAATGACTGTTCGGAGGAAGACAACGAATCAAGGTCAGTACTTTTCAGTCACTTTCCAGAACGCGTCATGCGATGTCAGGAGGAAACGAGTTGGAATGGAGATGAGAGCATTTACGAATCTACATGCTTAGAGAAGGACATTACCGTACAGGCAGGTGTTGCGTAGCTGTCCACTCCGAATTGGAAGTATTTTGAATGAACAGATCAACCAACAATATGGGAGAGAACGTGAAACGTGAATACAATTGTCGTGCACGTAGCACTTGACTAATGATATACCAGGTTAAACGAGCGTGGAAAAGACCTGCAAAGATGAAGGTGATCAAATGCAGATAAGTCTAAGGAATGCTGAGACGACGTGTAAACTTTACAAGGAATGAAGAACGTCATAGTGACTTGTCTTTCAGTACCGACAAGTATGTATGGAAAGTCACAGCCAATCAATAATTAACATAATCGAGGCGTAGAAGTCGCCGCAGAGGCCACCCATTTTTGTAAGATTTATCTATATATAGGTAGATTTCCCTCAAACCTCGACCTCTTACTTAACACATCAGTGTTCGTTCACCCCATGCCTACCGAGGGAGGCCCTTCAAACTCC